CCTGCTTCTCTGAAACCCTCATCAACTGAGATGTTAGAAAACTAATCCTTCCCTTTCTTGCTTTAACAGTTTTCATCAGATTACTCCCCAACCTTACTTGTGGCCAAATGACTACTAGGTCCAACGCAAGGAGGAAGACAGGAGACAGACGAGTAGAACACAACCACCTCAGCAACAGTCCCCAGTTAAGCAGGATTACGCAAAATCTCAAACTGCTACATAGCAACGCATGTCCTTGAGAGGTGAACAACAAAAGCTCTGCCTTCCTCCCAGCCATGCACTCGTACTGCTTACTCTGCAAGAGGTCTGGGGCATGAAGCCATCTTTGCTATTTTAATGGCAATGCATTAATACAATTAAAACCAAAACAGAACAGGAAAACCTACACATCCTTTTCTGGTGTTTGGGTTTTTTTGTTTGTTTATTTTAAAAGTGATTTTACTTGTTTCAGAGTATTAAATGCATGATAGGACAAGGCATGGGGGAGGACAACATCTGGGACCAAAGCCTGTACAACAGAAAAATGCCTCTCTGCAGAGGTCAGAACAGCAAAGCTCCTGCAGTGGCTCCGCCGACTATGGCGCTGCAGCATCAGGTTGACATTTTCTATCATGGTAAAGATTTGCTGCTCAAGGCTTTTTGCAGCCCAGTTCCTACTCCTTCTGGTCACACTTAACTCATCTGTTTTCATCCAAGTATCTCCAGTGTGAGCTACAGAGAGACAATAATAAAATAAAAAAAAAAGGCTACTTTACTGTACTCCACCCCTTTGCTGTTCATTAGGCATGGAAGGAAATCTTTGTAAAAACATTGTTAGCACCATCTCATTATGCTTCAGGTCCTTCCACAGAAAGCCTTCTTTGCCACAAACCCTGCAAAAATATCAGCAGCCGTCAAGTTCTTGTCCTGAAACTGCTGCCATCCTGACTTTGAGACTGTTCTCTTAAGCCTTCCTTCCAGTCGTTCATATCTATTGTTCTGTATTTGAGAAAGAACCTATTCTTCTCTGCCTCTACCTAATAGCTAGAAATAAAGCTTGTTAATTTTTATAAACCACCATCAGATGGGTTTGATAAAGGAGAAAAAAACTTCAGGATAGTTCCTTGAGTTAAACAGTATCGATTTTTGCATGACACCTTTTTTTTTAAAAAAAAAAACTTTAGCCTGAAGCATGTTTGCCTATTTAGTGATTTTCCTATTATGTAAAATGAGTGTATTAGAACAGTACAGAAGTATTGTCATTTGTGAGGCAAAGCTAATGTAGTTTAAAAAGTAAACTAAATTAACACTATTTCTCTGCTAAAAATGTCCAGCAAGTCTCTGTACCTGTACACTCACACTGAACATTCTGCAAGAACAGAATGGTTAAGGCACAAGAAAGTAACTACAAACAGGAGGAACAACTTAAGAACACACAAGAGGCAGATGCACCTACATATAGAATGCCAGGAAGCCTAGTTTTCAACTCAGGGTCATCCTTTTCTTCCTCTTAGCCAACTCTAATCATCTAATCTTTGGAAGTTTTACGACACAGTACAGGCATCATCTGATCAGCACAGGCTTACTTTGGGTAAAATACCCCTAATTCAGTTGTCTGTGGACTCTTGAGTACTTGAGACAGGGGCCTTAGCCCCTCTCTCTACTGTAATTAGCATCTGGAACCACTTAATTCTGTTTTCTTTGAGAACAGCTATAGGGTTATTTTCAATAATGAATTTTTAAAACATAACTTGAAGTCTAAACATTAATTTATAATGAAATAATGTGTTACTATGGGCTGACTTTTATAAAAATGCAGGAGGCTTAAGTCCTTAAACCACAAAGCAACAAATACATCAAATAACCTTTACAGATAAGTCATTCTTTGTGTACGAGCAACACTAAATAAAAACCAAAAAAACCCCCCTGATACAGAGTGCAGTAATACAACATTTTCTTTGTGAGCAAGTGATAAGATTATCTGTTGCTTTTTACCATTTCTGAATTATTCAGTCATTTATGTTACATATTCACCGTACCTTTAAAAGACTTATGTTTACCTAACTCAGTTTACCAACTTTAAAGACCTATGGAAACACACTTATATAAGGGTATGAAAAATAGAAAAATAGTGTTTGCTTCCAGTGCGATTTCACAGTCAAGACAGTAATTTAAATCAAGTGTAATATCCTAGATTCTACACCAGATTTCAGTAATAATGGATCACTAAGGGTCTTCTCAATTTGTAATGTGTTTTCACACAAGTTACGTTAATATTCTTTCAAATCTATCATCATTCTCCTTATTCCTCAGAATTAGTCAGCTTTTACCGTTTTCCCATTCTGTAAGCAAACAATGAGTTGTTCTTTATTTTTAGCTACGTTTCAAAAGGCAACTTCTGCAAGCAATGCTTGATTCAACTTTCCTTCCTCCCTTAACACTGATCATACTGATAGTGTGACTAGCTGTAAAAAGACATATACAGGAGTTGACCTTATGAACAGTCTATTGCACACGTTAGACTCAGAAAGCAGTCACTCAAGTAACATTCAACTTTTCAAACTACAGCTATCAAGCACGCACAAAAATTTTTCTCTGCCAAACATGAGCAAGTTAAGCTGTAGCAGTATCTAAATAATTACAAATACCCACTACACAGCAGACCAAGGAAAGAAAACACAGATGAGGATAAACAGCTGATCTCATGTCCCACCCTTCTTCCTCATCCCCGTTCCTTCTTTATAGACTTTTGGAAAAAAAAAAAATGTTTCTCATACATTGTAGTTTGTCAGAAACAAAAAGGCCTGACAGAAATGTAAACAAGAACTTCAACTGAAACCTTGCAGTCAACAGGAATTCTGCACACGCACACCCCACAAATGCCACAGGAGGCACAGACGAGCAAGCCTGAAGGCAAAAGGGTTCAATCAAGAGAGACTGTTTTAAACATAATTTCAATAGATGATTTTCAATGGCAGCACTAGCCTAATTACTTGCTTTCCTTCTGCCCCAGCAATCCCCACGATAACAACTGAACAAAAATTTGCAGTGTTTCACATCAAAATTACACCAAATCAAACTAGAGAAGGCAAGCAAAAGGCCAGTTTCCCAGTTTGGTTCATCACGGGAGTCTGCAGATGAGGAAGGATTCTTCAGATGAGGCGGGGATTACAGAGATAAAACTGCAAGCAGAAACAGCGGCAGAAAAGGTAAAGTGGCCACCAGCTGTCAGACCTGCTGCCAGATAGGTCCCTTTTTTTGGTATCTAAGCTTAGAGGTAAAGTACACTCCACAGTCTCAGCAAGATTATTTCCCTGGTAGTCAGCAGAAACATATTTTTGGAATGTCTAAGTGGCTCTGGTAGTTCAGAACCTGCTTAAGACGACTCCACCACTGGAAAGCCACTCAGCAACTAGCAAACAGCACCGCGTATGAACTCTTATCCAACCCCAGCTCCCAGATCTCAGACTGAGAGCAGCACGCTATGTAAGGGCCCTTCATTCAGCATGCAGAACCAAGGTCACCCTCCAGGAAGGAAGGTGCCCAAGTGATCACAGTTCTCAGATTTTACCGTGGTGTTGGTGACGCAGCTGTCCCGCAGGAGCACTACTCATGTTGTGCATAACAGCCTGGGAGCACTGGCACAAAAGCAGGAGACCCAGGTCCCCTGCCTTCTGTCTCCCTGACTGAACAAAAATTCTTCAGAGAACATACGAATCACCAGGACCACAGAAGAGTTTGAAAAGACACGTGATCCATCCTTCAAATTATACTGGAGAAGCGGGGTTCACACTCAGCCCTAAACCAAATAGTTATGAAGCCTAAGAGAACGCGACTGACTTATCAGTTTCGTAATTCATCCAAAAAGGAAGTCAAAAGTCCTGGTCTTTGCTAAGGTTATTCTAATGTTGATGCTTTTTAGTGTCCAGTGTACTGGACAAACATGGAGTCAAAGCCAAAACAGCACTCTCCACTTTCCCAAGCATTCTAACACAGCAATTAGTTGAGTGTAAACAGTCAAAAAATTAAGGCATTAAGTGAATTTACACACTTACTGCATTTTACAATTGTTGAAGAATTTACTTTCTCCATTATTTCTTTGGACAGAAGTATCAGCTCACAGATAACCCCGTTCAGGCTGGGATGACCAGAATAAGAAAGCATTCAGAGAGAAGGTATAACAGCGAGAGGGAGATATAATGGTTTCAGCCACATAAGCTTCCCTTTGCAAGATGAAAAATGTCATATATGCTTGGGCAAAACAACACAACAAATCTAGACAACAGCAGCGTACACCAACATTTGTATTAGCTATCTGCTGGAGAAGTGGAGCATCAAGAAAAAGGAAGATTCGAGCTACGAAAAGGAGTAGGAAAACAAACTACATTTCCTTTAGTAAAACAAGTAAATACAATCTGCAAGAAATGTTAACACCTCAGGATACATATACACAAGAATACAAGGTAACAAACACTCCATTCCTCATAACTAACTTTAATTGTACTCTGCATGACTGCTTATCATCACAACCATTCAAAGCCTACTGTTCCAGGAGTAGGGTATGGTATTTGCACTAGGTAGAAACAACTATTAGTTGGCATAATTTCCCATAATAAATACCCATAATTAACAGGAGCAACCAGAAAACTGCTAAGGTTCCCCAGAAACACTTGTTTGTACAAACTCTACATGCAACATTTACATAAGCTATGGAAAGAAACCCTGGACCTCCTTCAAGCAAAAGTCTATGAGACAGCAGCACAAAGCTACCATGGTAACGGCTGACTGCCAGGTTTAATTGCATTTCATAAAATAATTCCAAAATGGATTTAAAAATCTGCTGCTTAATTACCATCTTCCCCACTGGGAGTGCAGGATTATTTGATAGTTAATTCCTCACCATTAGAAAGCTACACTGATATGCTGTGAATGAAATTTCACCCAGTGGTATGCGCACAAGACTTCAGGTCACAAT